ATTTCCTAGTTTGGAGCTATCCCAATCCGGCGCTTGCTTAAAAGAAGTCGGTCCCATCGAAAAGGATCTACCGAAGCTGCCGGTGGTGACAAGGAGCAAGTATCCTCTCTGAGGGTCCAAACGAAAAGTATCGTGGTGTCCGGAAATCCAAAGACCAACCACTGAGGGATAGACATAGCTCTTAGAAACCGGGTTATAGGTTAGGTGGTTTAAAACTAGTGATAGGCATTCCCCACCTGACGTGTTGGATCCACCTTTGGTGTATAATTCTTATAGTTGGGTTTAAAAAGATAGATGGTAAGCTAATATGTAAAAGTATTAGGCAATGTTGGTTTACAATTGTAGACTATATAATCGGTATAACATACAATTTTCAATTGTAAAAGGACACTTGATGTAATTCAATTACGTAAAGTATCAATAAAGATTTGCATCATTGCACGTTCATCTATAAAAAAAAAAATAATAATAATAATTGCAAGTTAAAAAATCAAATTAAATTATATATATACAATATATTTTATTAAAATAATTTTAAAATTTTTTGTTTATGATAGAATTAAAAAAATATTTATAATATTAATTAAATTTATTTAAAAATTATTATATTTTATATTAAAAATTATTATATTATTTAATTAAATTTAATTAAAATTTTTATAACAATTATTTTTTAAATGTAAAAAATTTTTTTTTCTTTTTAAATAAAATAAAATATAAATATAAATTGTTTATATGGATTTCTAATTTATGCTATAATTATTTATCAAATATAAATATAAACAAATACAAATTATAATAAAATTTCTACAAAAAATATTTTTTAAAAATAATTGTATTATTTTAGAAAACTTTTATATTTTACATAAATAAAAAGGTTTTATCAAATTAAATAGATAAACATTAAGTAATAAAATTTTTAAAAATTTTTGTTTGTCAAATTTAATTAATCGACAATAATTGTTTGTTATAAGCTTTTACCAATTTGTAAAAACAAAGTTTATCAACCACGTATATGGTTTTGTTAAAACTGATTAAATATTATAAAATGTTGAAATTTCAATTAAATAATACATGTATTATAAAAGAATTTATTCGATATATTACGCAATCAAACCATAGAAAATAAATTTAAGGAGTCAAAAGATTTTTTAAGGCTTCATGTACGGTACTGTATATAGAAATTATGTAACATCAAGAACTATAATATTAATGATACGTAATCATTGTTACAGTAATCCTTAAAAATAAGTAACACTTTGTGTAACGTTATATGATGTATATAACATTTAAAGAAATCCCTAGTTGGGAAGAGATCAAATATGTCACTTTTTGGTTGTTGTCTCGAGTGTAAGCAAAAATATTCTGGATTCGCATGGTGCGTTTCATGTAATCGAAATCACTTTCAACAAGATTTTAACAAATGGACAAGTGGAGATAAAAAGATTGACGAATTTATACAAAAGTCTCAGCTTCAAGCAGAGAATCACTTTAAGGTATTAGAATGGATACCGTATACACAATTTCGGGATGTCAAATATATCGCTAAAGGAGGATATGGCACCGTATATTCTGCGATATGGAAAGATGGAAGTATTCACAAATGGGATGTTGTCAATATGAAATGGAATAGACTTCACAATACGAAAGTAACATTAAAAAGCTTCGATAAGTTTAGCTCAGTTGACGATCTTATAAATGAGGTAAAGAATATTAAACCTCGTTTAACTATAGTTTTATTATTAATTTGATTTATTTTAAATTTTAGATTGAGAAACATTCTATTCTATGGTATTATGGGTTTGTTAGGTGCTATGGAATTACGCAACAGCCAGAGTCATTATGCTATATGATGGTTTTTGCGTTTAAAGCAAATGGCAGTCTCAGGAATTACTTGGACCTAAATTTTTACAAGATGGATTTTAAATTAAAAATAAAATCATTATGGAATATTTCATATGGTTTAAAAGAGATGCACTCGAATAAGTTAGTTCATAGAGACTTTCATCCAGGAAATCTTTTATACGATAATCTATTGAGGTTAAATATCTCAGATTTAGGTCTTTGTAAATTTTTTAATGAAAACTCAACACGTAGAGAAATTTATGGAGTTCTTCCATACATTGCACCCGAAGTCTTGTGTGGTCATGCTTACACACCGGCAGCAAATATTTATTCATTTGGAATCGTAGCATATGAAATTATCACAGGATTTCCTCCATACTATAATATTCCTCATGATCAAGATCTTGCTGTACAAATCTGTCAAGGCTTACGTCCAAAAATTCCATTCAAGACTCCGAAATTTTTAGTTAGATTAATAATGCAATGTTGGGATGCGAGGCCATCGAAGCGACCTAGTGCTGAAGAAATACATAACACTTTATCAAAATGGGTTTATGTTGATAAACTTTCGGATTTTAAGGAACAAGTTAAATATTACGAAAGTGAAGTTTCAAGAAAATCGTCAAATAATAACTTCTCGGGACTCAATTACAAAACACACCCAAATGCCGTTTATACCAGCAGATCTTTGAGTTTTTCTAACTTATCACATCCAACCAATGCCCCTGATTATGAGAAAGAACTTGAAATGTTGTCGGATGACTATGCAGGTGAATATACTAAAGATAGTATAACTTCGTTACATTTCGATTTTATTTCATTAACAAATTTTAAATTTAACTTGTTAGACTCTGAATTGTTCGACCTGGATTTGACGGATTTTGTATGTATTTTTGAATTAATTATGAAGTTAAACAAGATGATGATCAAGTTATACTCCCTACACCAACCAGGAAAACGAATCCTTTTCAGGGCCAGATAAAGTTTATCAGGTCATTCTCCCTAAATCCGACAAGTCTATAAAGTTCTTTTCGGACTGTAATGAAGTTAAAGAAGATCAGGTAATTATTCCTAAATACGACAAGTTCTTTTCGGACTGTAATGAAGTTAAAGAAGATCAGGACAATTTCTTACCTTTACACGAAATAAATTATGGAGTGGAAGTAGAAGTAGGTTTAACAATTTTTTTTAATATTTATTACGCATCACTTTTTCTTACATTTTCTTTATACCAACGCATTTATAGCATATAAATGGAATAAAACTACCAAAATTTAGTCTTGGATTAATTGTGAATGGAGAAGGATTAACAAAAACAAAATATAAGTTTCTTGCTTCTTTAAGAATTCGACATATTAATACGACTAAAAGTTCAACGATTAGATTGGTTAGCACAAAATCCAACATATATTCTTATTTTCTAGAGAATGGTGTGTCAATTAAAGAAGATCAAGCACATCAATTTCTTCGATCTATTCCATTTATAACTTCAATGACACATGATCTAAAACAAGGTACCTTCCGAGCTATTTATTGTGATATTTCTATCCCGTTGGTAGAAATATCATTTGAGCAAATCAAACCATCTAACGAATCAATTCAGGCTCTAAATGATGCTTTGTCGAACATGGATCCGTACACTTCACTATGTAAAGTTTTTAAAAAATTCGGTCATTTAATTCCTCATAAGATGGTTATCGGGAAAAAACTATCACGTAATTGTCGTGAATTTTCATCAGCATTATGTGAAGATTCTCCGGATCAATCTAAAAAAAATTCTTTAAAGGCTTCTAGTGAAAATTACAATGAATTTCGGACTGTGCTGAATGAATGGAAATATCTTCTTTCGGAAAGTGGATTTAACCCAACATATCTTAAGAACACAGAAGGAGGCATTACAGAAGTCGAGAATATAGAAAGTTGGATCTCAAAAGATTTTCAAAAACTCGAAATCATCGAATATTCAGATTTAATTTCAACATACGCAATTCTTGATTTCCCAATGCGCAAGGAAATTGAAAAATGCTTCAAGGAAGAAAATCAAATTCTAATGACAGGATATATTAGAATTAAAAATATTCACACTCATTATTATCGCGTTGAATTTAATACACCATTGAAAAGCAGCCGTTATCAGGTTTTCGGTTTTGTTACAGATGAAAATCTTAATGTATTAGAGAAATTAGTAGTTGAGTTTAAGTTTTTTACCAAATTTGGATTTTCGATAATATTAAAAAGGTTTTTTAAATTCAATTTTATTATTGCGAGATGTGTAAGCTGCATACGATAATTAATACATATAATCTATTTTTTAGTTTGGATAAAGAACAATTGATCGGCGCTCTGTTATCATGGATGTTGATCGGAATTCCACGTGAAATAGGATTCTACAGCAGAAATACTCGTGATATGACCGTGCTGCGTACAGGCGAATTAACTTTTGAAAAGGACGATGGCAATATTATTATAAAGGAAAATAAATATTTTATTAAATTGCCATTTATATCCGAAATTCCATCCGAAAGTATAGTTAATATTCGCTTAGAATTTTCACAAAATATCCACGAGGCTTTTATCGAAACTCGATACATTAGTGATACCAACGAAATACAAATTATTAATTCAAACAACTTTCCAGATATTGGTTACCTCGAAGAAGCTCGAGTTCATTATGCAATTATAAGCATTTCGGAAAACGAGAGGATAATTATTCCAGATATTCAAATGATCTCGAATGAAAAATGTTTTTTTAATTATGAATTAATTTTACTAAAAGAAAATATGGGATATTCAATTTTTTAGTTAAAGTATAGATGTATTACGCATGAATATCAGTTCATTTAAATGAAGACATTTTTGATAGTCGAAGCTTTATTGACAACACAGCTTGACAATTAACGTTTTTACGATTTCTACTTAAATCACTACTTATCTTTGTTCTTATATACAGTATATCGGATATATAAAAATAATGGTTAAAATATTGTAAGCACAAGCACTTTACTGTATATTTAATTTGCAAAAATATGTCTTTAATAAATGCTAAATTATTGTGAAAACAAACACTTCTACAATATAATATTAATATTAAAATAAACACTTTTACTATATTATATTAATTCTTTAAAAGAGTATGATAAAATACAATATCCCTTCCTTTCGTCTTTTTTTTGTTATTGGAAGACCAAATTTTTACATGGCCATTATTGGGTAAGACATTTACATTGAATATTATTGGATTGCAACTTATATTCGTGCAATCCTCGAAATAATTTAGAAAGATAAAATGATCCATTGTCATTTTATAATTTCTGATTATGCTTTTAATACTAATTTCATCAATATTCTTGGAAAATAATTGAGATTTTAGAGTTAAAGCTGTTTTCCCCAATTGATTAAGATTTGAATATGACTTGTCCTTAAGTATACTGAATAAATTCTGTTATTATTTTATCAACGAACGTTAAATTATAAATTATAAAAGCGCTTACCAATAATGGATATGCAAATCATTTAGTGGAAACAAATTCTGAGCAATGTTATATCTTGCACAACTTTCTAAGTCATATACGAAAACACATGAATCTCCTTGTGCTCTGAAGTGCATTCCTGTGATGATTGTCGACTCATCTGGAACATAAGTTGAATTGGTCCCGCGCTCAATTACACAAGTTCCCAAAATACTTTTGCTATAATCTAGTTGATTTTTTTTAATTCG